ACAGCCGGTTTGACAGCCCCCGTCATATGGCAGACGTTACCTTTTACATCTAGTCTAGGAAATGTTTAAAATATTTATAATTATTGTCTCGTCTCGGCTATTTCAACTTGGCCAATGGTATTGTGTCGGCTCACCTCTTTGTTGGTGCGTAATTTTTTAAATTAACGAGCCTCACGTACTCAGGAATAAAGCCGACAACTGGAATACAACAAAAACGGGAAGAACTTGTGAGATATAAATCGCGACGACCGTGAACCCCGACGTGGCTATACCGTGAGACGAATTTTTCCAGTTGGAGTTAATGAGCATAACTGGGGGAATTTTTCGTTTGTTTTGCGGTGAGTATTATCGAGAGGTGAATCTTTTCTTGGTGGGATAATTAGGGAGAACAATGCTATCAATCGTTTGGAGGGAGTAATGAGGTGCGTGGGGTTTGAATGAATTTTCAAGGGGTCACACCATCGAGAAGGGATGGACGTTATTAGCTGGAGATATTATCTATTGTTGAAAAATCGGCAAGCTAGAGAATTACCACAAATGATATTGTGAATTCCTACTTTACCGATCGATGATAAACATAAAGGGTATTGTTACCAGCTGTCGGTATTTGGTAAATACTATCAGACGGTAAAATTGCAGAAAAACAGCGCTATGTGTAATTGCTAAGTGATAAGTGAATGTGTGCATGAATCAATCATTTTCCTCACGAGGACGATAAATATTTATTATCGTATTATATGTTAAGTGAGATTCAACTCTAAATTAAGAAAAAAGGAACGAACGAATGAATGAATGAATAATTGATTTTTTACATCCGTACTGAAATGTATTTATATATTTATATATTTATATATTTATATATTTATATATTTATATATTTCTTTTTTCTTTCTAAAAATGAATTGCTCAGTTATTGAATTAACCAGACAGCAATGTATTAATTCACTTTTCCCAGACAGTTCCATGAATTCCAGGGGAGAACAATTACTAATTATCCCGCAAGAGCTAGAAACTAATTGAATTAAGACACTCCTGCGAGGTCCCCCTACCCTAGGCATAAAAGTTGAAACAATAAATCATGCACTTTCTCACGACT